ACAGTTAACTCAACATATAGTCTCTATTATTTATTATTTTATTCTTTCTCTAATACATATTTACACACCTATAAACATTTCACATTTCCTCTTTCCTATATTAATATTTTCATTCATTCATTCTCAGCTCCATTTATATTCATTCAACATACTTCACAATGGTGTTAATAATTATATTAACACTATCAAAACCTAAAATATAATAATAGTTAAAATATCATATTCTGTTATCATATCTCATAAAACTTTTTAACAGACTATTCATTTTACTAATTAAATTTTTAACTCCCAGAGATTTACACAATAGGTCCCTTACCGTTGCTAAGAAACCACCATTATCCAATCAAAAATATTTTTACTTCCATTTCATTGGATTTCAACTTATTCTTTTAGTTTATACTAATTTTTTTTTATACCCTTTCTACACTATTATGTGGATAGTACCACATCACTTCCTTTCATTTTCTACCTTTATCATTTTTCTTACCACTTATGATGTCATAAATTCAACCTTAAACATTAATTCCACTAATTTAATAACTCATTTCTTTTTCAATAACAGAGATTTGCAGATTTAAGACAATAAATTTTATCATTTAAACAAATTAAAATTTTAACTACAGGATCATTAATCAGATATTAGCTATTATTACAACAAAATAAATTTTATAATTTTTACAATTAAAAAAATTACATTAGTCTCGGAACACACGTATACCTAGTCACGTTTAGCTGTCTTCTTAAATTATATTCCTGTTACCTCAGCCAGTTGGTCTGTGTCGTTTGTAGTCCTTAAAGTAATAAAATTTTATCCATTGTCATCGACCTAGAGTCACAACATAATTAAAATTTAAAATTTGGAATGATGTAAACCCATATATGGAGGTCACAGCCACAACTTTATTGATAGCTTCAACTACATAAGGCACTGAGGATGATCTGTTCAGATCGAAAACGTTATGCTATAATCCAAGAAAACCAACGATTACCATAAGAAAATGGACGCTCAAAGATTCGAAGGATGATTTTCAAATATTCTACCAAACCTTGAAGCAAATTCTGTCGTTGTTATGGGCAATGCGTCATAGCACAGTCGACGGTTGGAGCCATCATCAACGACTGCCTGGCGAAAAGGTGAAATAATCAACTGGCTCTCTCAAAAAAATATACCATTCGATGACAACATGTTGAAAGTACAATTATTAAACCTAGCGAGTATACATATACCCGCTTTCAAGAAATATTAAGTCAATGAAATGGCTCGTGCAAACAACATAATTTTACATCGCCTCCCTCCATATCATTGTGAGCTGAACCCTATCAAGCTTCTTCTTCACGTGCCATCTCCGCGACGGAGGTTGGCAATCATCATGGCTATTCTAATCTTAGATGCTGCTGCTCTGAATAGTTCAATTGATGTGCATCCGTACCATTCCCTCAAGTTACGTAACCATAAAATTCTTCTTTTTCCTACACTTCTCTTGCCCTGGAGTTTCCCTTGTATAATCAACTATCAAGCTTATATAGGCTCAAATAAAAAACCAAGTGGCAAGAGAAAACTTGAGTTTTAAAATGGAGGAGGTGAAGTGCTTGTTAGCTACTGCCATACAAAATATCACACCTAAATCTTGAAAAATTTGTATAAGACACACTATAAAAGAAGAATATGGAATGTGTGACTTAGAATTATCAATGTAAATAATAGTGATCTCGATAGCTCTTCATTGGCCGACGAGTCGTCTTCATACGATGATTAATATTTTGACTTGTTGACCTGTTGAGGTCGAACCATTTTATCAAGATTCCTTTCGTATATAAGTAAGTTTATTTTGTTAACCTAGTTTTCAAACTAAAGTACGTTTTGCACCAATATATTTTGCTCTTCAAATAAAATGAATACTTGCTCTCTACCTGCCTTTTCGATAATTAATTTTTGTAACAAATAAAAAATGTCATGAATAAAAGTTATAGTTTGTCATTAAATGTAATAGAAAATTTCTTTGTCTCGTATGTTTTGTACAAAATTATGGAATTTGAAAGTCGTTTTTTTGAGATAAGAAGTATTCACTTTTAAAGTTAAATATAAATCTCATACCATAATATATTAAGATTCATTTTTAAAATTCACTGCAACAGAGTGAACGATACGCTACTGAATGCTCCATTAGGAAATCAATGAGCAATTTATCTCTCTTTATATTATGAGAACGTTGATCTACTATTCCTTTCTACCGGTCCTAGAATACCATGTTGTCATGTATGACTTTTACAAAGAATATTATCGTACTTAAGATGTTTTCTATATACATATAAATATTGTATATAAATATAATACAGTGAAACTTGGATAATTCGAACCTCAAGGGACCGTTAAAAAATTCGAATTATCCAAAAATTCGAATTAAAAACATATCCACAAAAAACAAAGATGCCTACAAAAACATATACAAATGATAAAAATCAACAATAGTTGACCATTTTTATCGCTTGCAGATGTTTTCGTTACTATTTGTGCCCGAATTTTGTCAACCGAAAAAAATGGACCAACAAAATTAGGGCAGAATACCAATTAAAGCATTTGCAAGCTATAAAAAATGGTCAATTATTGTCGATTTTTATCATTTGCAGGTTTTCTCATTGGTATTTTTGGCCAAATCTTAGCCGAAACAACCGGCAGATAAAAAAATTCCCAGTGAGAAGGCATCATGAAAAAAAAAATAAAACATTTTTTTCTCAAAAAATTTATTGAAAATAAGAATACATATTTGTTACAATTAATGAAAATAGACTATTTTTTTTATGACACCCTGGTCCATAGGCTGGAGAACTGAAGTCATGTTAGCAGGAAAAAAAAATAATTTTAACATTTTCCATCAGTGGGATAGTGGTGTGTGCTGTACAATTGTCAATAAACAAAATAACTTTTCTTTTTTCTTTTATGAACTTTTTGTCTAATTTTTTCAGCCAGTTCTCGAAAAGATCATCAGAAGAGGCAGTCTTTCTGACCGTCCATGTTTGCACCAATTAGAAGAGTTACTACCCTGTACTCGCCTTAAAATTGTTTTTCCCCATTTCAATAGCAAATTGTTCAGCTTTGCTTCTTATAAGGGGACCACTCACTGGAATTTTCTTATCCCTATCTTGTTTGAATAGAAAATAATACTACCTCTTTTAGCGGAAATTTCCAGCATGAAATTGGCATTTTTAACTTGTAGAAAAGTTCGAATTATCCACGACGTTTTAACATTACTTATATAGGAAATGCTAGGGACCAGAATAAAAATTCGAATTAAAGAAGATTTCGAATTAACGAAGTTCGAATTAAGCAGGTTCTACTGTATTATACATACATATTGATGTTATTAAATACATTTTATTAGATAACTTAACAAAAACAAAACAATATGATAATTTTGCTGGATGTCAATAATTAAATTATAAACTGCTAGAATATCTATCATCACAAACTGGCATCGATGTTGTCGTTTTATCACAATAACAGTTTGGAGAATTTACTGCCTACAAATTTGATTCTCAAGTATAGTACATAAATTTTGACGAGACTTTTTTAAAAAGTTTTAACTATGTGTTTTTATAATAAAATACAAGTGTTAAGTGTTTTAACTTCTGTGTTTTTTAATAAATGTTTATCATTACTGTCTTACAAGTTAAGAGTAAACGGTTTTGGTTCAATTAATAGATTATATTAATTGGTATAACATAAATTATTTAATATTTATAAAATTCAGTAAGCCTGAAAAGTTTACGTTTACCATTACAATTACTATCAATATTTTGTTTTAATTATATAAAATACATTTAATATTTCTTATATTCATTTCGAAAATTGTTTAAGCACTTCCCTCCGTTTACTTCTGCCTAATTTTTTGTTCAAATTCTCAATATTATTTTTTGTAAATCTGTATATACGCTGACAATCCATCTCTTTATTGGTTTACCTTTTGATTTCTTTTGTATGGGCTTTCGTGATTACCATTCTCGACATTCTTTTTATTTTTACTCTTTCTACCTCTAGTTCCATTCCTAACTGTGGAGTATTGAGCGCTTATGCGTTTATTGGCCAAAATTGTAAGATTGCTGACTAGTTGGGATAGCGCATGTTTATTCTCTGGTGGCTTAATTAGGCAACTAAGATCAGATAACGTCTCCAGAAAAACAAAATGCCAAATATACAAAACCTTAATAAGACCGGTACTCACATACGGTTCAGAAACCTGGACACTCTCTAAAAGGGAGGAAACGTTATTAGCCACCTTTGAAAGAAAAATCTTGCGACACATATATAAGGGCACAAAAGAAAACGGGATTTGGCGGAGAAGGTATCACTTTGAACTATACAACATATACCAGGATCCGGATATCATAACATTCATTAAAATAGGAAGGCTACGTTGGATTGGACATGTGGAAAGAATGGAAGAAGGCGAAATACCAAAAAAAATATTCAAACAAGTGCCAGTAGGAAAAAGAACAAGAGGAAGACCGAAGCTGAGATACGTAGAACAAATAGAAAATGATATAACAACATTAAAAATTAAAAACTGGAAAAAAAAGCACGAAACAGGTCAGAATGGAGAAGAATCCTTGAACAGGCCAAGACCCAAACAGGGTTGTCGAGCCAGTGATGATGATGAAGCCACAATTAAAGGTTAAAGTAAGTTTATTGACGTTTCACTTACCGCTTTCACTTTCACTTCCACTTCGGATAATAACACCTTGGGCAAGCATTGGATGAGAATTACTACATTAGTTAAAGAAGAAAGAAGAAGAAAATGGTTATTCCTAGTACTGCTGCTTTAATGTCTTGTTGACTTTCTTAAAGTCTGCAAACATTTTTTTGTGTTAGTGTCCAAGTACTTTAACTTTTTCAAAGTCTTAACTTTGTTCCTATTTTCTTTGTATATTGCATTGGGGTTTTAATATTTATTTTGAAATATTATAGTAATCTCGTTAAAAATACAATATGTTTTCTTTTGTAGATTTTTAATACTGCAGCTCAAAATCCAGCTCTAAACAAACTTCCATACTTCGAAGAATGTATCAAACTTTCAGGAGCCACATCGGAAGATCTTACACCGAAACCAGAGAAAATGACCCACGAAAGCAAGTGTTTCTTCTTTTGCGCAATGAAAAAAGAAGGAGCTATTGATGCCACAGGCATGTATAAGCCAAAAGAAATATTCAGAATTTTGAAGCTTTATCACGGTATTGAAGTGCCAGCAGATCAAATTAAGACAATTTCAACTTGTATAACAGCTCTGGGAAAAGTAACTAACTGCGACGATATTGTAAAAATGCATGATTGTTTTAAAGCTTTTGCTAAAATTTAATTTTTATTGGTCTATATAATTCATATGCAATGTTTATATTATATTAATTACAAAATTTTTATGTTCAATGAGCAAATAAATTAAATAATATGCAATCAAATACGCGTTTTGTTTATAATCTAATAAGCAAAATAACAATCAGGAGTTAGTGCAGGTTGATACACAACAGATTATTTCTTCTCCATTTCGTAAATAATGGATAAAAGGGTGGGGAGAAGCGAGGATACTTATCTTGTATGTGTATTACAGAACAGCATTCTCTAACGAAAACTTTGGGAACAAATAGAAATACCACCCTTATAAATCCTGTCCAGAAACCGCCAGAATACAATCAAAAGAGTCTTGTAACGATTAGCTCTATTATACTCTAGACTAAACAAAATGCGAGCTTAATTTTAATATAAAATATATTCAAATCTTCTTCTCTTCTTCAAGTGCCCTGTCCGTTGCGAACGTTGGCTATTAACATGGCAATTCTGATCTTGTTTGCGGCGCTTCTGAATAGTTCGACTGATGTGAGCCCGAACCACTTCTGCAGATTTTGGAGCCACGAGTGTTTTCTCCTGCCTGGCCCTCGCTTACTGTCTATTTTTCCCTGGACAATAAATTCGAGCAAACAGTACTTATCGTGTCTCAATATGTGGCCTAGATATTCAAGCTTTATTTGTTTAATTGTATTCACGATTTCTTTCTCCTTTCCGATTCTTTGGAGTACCTCTATGTTGGTGACATATTTCGTAGAGTGTATTATCCCCATGATCTACGAGCAATAATTACAGTTCTCATTCGATCAGGTATACTTCGGATTAAGGCAGCAAAGTCTGAGTCTTGAGGGATTTGCTCCCATTCTTCACGAACTGCTTGCTCTAAATCATTCATGGTTTCAAAATAACCATGGTCATGTCGAATACGTCATTCCAGAATATCCCATGCATGTTTTTTTAGATTTAAGTCTGCACTACTTGGGGCCATGGTAATAAACGAATCCCACCTAAATTAAAGTAATCCCCTATAATTCTTACGATGTGTGGGCGAGCATTATCTTGCATCAGACGAAAGTTTTCTCCAACAAATGGTTCAAATGTCGTTCAAATTGCCCCCTTGAATTGTAACAAGTTCTGAATGCTTATTCTCTAGGGAAATGCCTACCCACACCATTTTAACATCTCCACCGAATTGAACTCTCGGTGTAAGACAACATTGTTAGAAACGTTCAACAGCTATTCTCCATATTCTAGGCCGTCCATCTGATTAAGCTGTTTGCGAGCGAAGTGTAAACGTTGCCTTCGATGATCTGCTGTTAATAGAGGTCCCTTGACAGGTATTCTGGACCTTAAGTACCAATAGAAACTGTGTCTCTATTGACGTGTTTTAATCATCGAACAAGCACTGATGCTAATAATGTACGACCACGTAACGCGTGTAACCTAAGAAAGCGATCTTCAACTTAACTTATGGTTCTTCGTCTGCCTTGACTTGACCTCCTGGTGTATTGTCCTGTTTCCCGAAATCTTTGTGTTGCATCAAACACTGTACTTCGAGAAATTTCTAAAGCATTTACCACGTAACAAATGCTCCGTCCATCATTCTGTAAAGCAACAGCTGGGGCTTCTTCTTCCGGTGTCATAATTTTTTTAAGGTGAGTTTTAAATAGGAGACAATACAAAAACCTACAGCCACTATTTCACATTAATAACAAAACGCATGTATAAAAGTGTTGCTGTTTGCACAATACATCTAAACAGGTTCAAACAAGAAGAAAACGTTATCGCTAATATGGCATAAAATACAATTCAATCAAAATAAACCAGTTTTGATCTACACACCAACAAAAAACAAAAAAATCTAAGTGTCCGGTTAATTTTGCACCCTAGTGTATGTCACCACAAGAATATGACTTCCATGAACAATCCGACGTTCAGGAAAGTTGTATTTAAATACTGTCTCACTCTGCTTTCTCTGTAATGTAATGGTGTACCATCTTGTAGAAACCACATATTTCGCCTTAAATTTGATAATAATTTTTCCAATAAATCAATAAAATCATTTTATAAAAAATATAAATAAATCTCGACATTCAAATTGCAAGGTAATTCGCATATCCGTAAAAAATAATTATCAATGGTTCCAAACCATAGGACATGCCTTTTAAATATGATTTTTGAATGATATTTTACGGATATGCGAATTACCTTTCAATTTGAATGGTGAGATTTATTTATATTTTTTATAAAATGATATTATTGATTTATTGGAAGAATTGTCATCAAACTTAAGGCGAAATATGTAGTTTCTACAAGATGGTACACCATTACATTACAGAGAAAGCGGAGTGAGACAGTATTTAAATACATTTTCCTGGACGTTGGATTGTTCGTGATAGTCATATTCTTGTGGTGAGATAATAATATAATTATTTAATTTATAAAAATTTCAAAAAATTACCTATTATTATACTTAAAACAACTATAATAAATACTGCAGCAGTTTCTTTAGAACCAATGATGCTATTTAATATGAGACGATATTTTATGGAATGTATTGACAAATGAATTAAAGAAAATGGTGGATATATCCAACACTTACTTTGACAAAAAGTTTAATGTTATTTCGTTTAACTATTTCCTAATTTGGTTTGTAAATAAAATGTTTTGAATATGACTTTAATTTAATACAAAACGTAAAAGGTTGTACAATCCAATTATTCTGTTATTTTATGAAATCCTATTATTAATTATCCTGCTGATATATTTATTTTATTTAATATTTCTTTAACTATTGACTTTATTAAACATATTTTATAACAAAATTCAGAAGTATTGATGTTTTTATATATTTTTCTTTCATTTCCTGGAGTAATTGCATTAAATCTGAATTATGCAGTTGATTTGTAAAATACGATTTTCTCGAGAACTGTTGAGCTTTGAAGTTGTTAACAGGTATACCTTTTTTTTGTTAAAATAATGTATCTTTAATATTTTTTATCAAAAATACCGGTAACTTAAAGAACAAAAAAGTTAAGTGCAAATGTATGTCACGTATGTGGCATATGTGGCGCCCTCTATTAGCTATATCAAAGTGTGCATCATATTATAATTCCCGGTATTAAATAGTACCCAGCTATAAATTTTTATACATAAATGTTTACAAACATGAAAGGTATAGCGAAAAATAAAATTTTAAATTTCAACTTTAACACCCTGTATGTTTTTTAATATCAATATTTTATTAAAGTTGGCTTAAATCGTAATATTTTAAAGTATAGAATCTGCGGTTTCTTTTTGTATGATTACTTAAGGACCACCCTGTATAAAACAGTGGTTAGACTGTAATACACCGAAGGTAATTGGAGAAAGCTCTAATTAAAATGTGTCTTAAAGCAACAAATTCATCAAAGACAGGAAAATGGACTAGAATAATCACAAACAGCGCATATCAGTAAAAATAGTAGTAAAACTAATAGTAAAGCTAGAGGGTAAAACTTCGTTTGAAATACACGGGGAGAAAAAAATAAAAAAATAATAAACTTATTTAATTAAGTGTCAAATTATCATATTTAACAATTTTATTCGATACAAAAGATCTGCCTTGTTTACATAACACATCTATCCGACAAAAAATAACGAATTTAATTAGATAAATATTATAATAAAATTGAAAATTATATAAATTATATTACTTGAAATAAAAATTACGGATGCAAACGACAAAATAATTATTTTGAATGAAATCAATTGCAAAATATCGAATGTATATAAATATGTTTTGCTTTTTATAAGTATGAAAAACAAATTTAGTAAATTGCACGATGGCGAAAACAATTTTCTTATTAGCGGTAACTCTCACAATATGCGTAAGTGGTCCTATATTATAATAATCAATAATAGCACTATTATTTACTTTGTAATGCACAATCAATAGTCATCATCATTATCAGCGGTTAACCTTAATAAAATTTATAAAATATTTCGGTTTTGTTCATATAAATAGATCGGTTTAAAACGTTGTCCTAAGTCTTCTCCTACTTTCTATACCCAGTTGCCACTCCTCTCGATTCATCCATAAGTCTTCTTCTATGTCCCTGTCTTTCATTTCTCTATTGATCTCCTTTCTCCAACTCCAAGGCGGAGTCTTCCTTTTTTTTTTTCTACCGTGAGGGGTCCACATTAAGACTTGTTTTGGGAGACGTTCCTCAGATCTTCTCTGTACATGACCATACCATCTGACTTGTTGGGTACCAATATCGTCTACTATTGTATGTTTTACTTTCATCATTTCTCTTATTCTGTTGTTTGTTACTCTTTCTAGTCTAGATTTTCAGGCTGAACGTCTCCAGAAATCCATTTCCGTTGCCTTGTTATCAGTTTTCTCTTGTATCTTTCCTTTATTTGCCATACTTTACTACTGTATGTAATTATACTTTTATTGATTGCATTATATTATATCTTGTGCTTGTTGTTATTAGAGATTAATTGATCCCAAAGGATACTATTGAGGAAGGAAATTGCTTTTCTTGATTGGTTGTTTTTTTCTCCAATTGTGTCGTCTACGTAGCCTTCTTTTATGATGATCATACCTAAATATTTACATGTGTTGCAATGTTTGATAACTTCTCTACCTTTTTATATGAGGTCCTGTTGTTTGCCGCCGATACACATATACTCGGTTTTCTGGATATTGATTTTAAGTCCCCATTTTTTATACTCCTCGATTATTTTTCGAGTCATATACTCAATATCTTCATAATCTTGTACTATCACTAGTTGATCATCTGCAAATGACAAAGTGTATATGCTATTGTTGTTAATCGGCAATCGGTTTATTTATTATGGTACCGAGGTAGGTGTAGTGTGTTACTCTTTCTACAGGAGATTGGTTGAAGTAGAGTTGACCTTCTGTTATCCTTTTCTTGCTAATTTTCATAAGCTTTGTCTTTCTAATGTTTATATTTAGTCCATATTGTTGACAGTAATACGTGATTTTATTCATAAGAACTGGTAGGTTTTCTAAGTTGATCGCAAATACTATGGTGTCATCTGCATATCTGATGTTGTTTAGCTGGTAACCATTTAGTAGAATATCTTTTTCAGTTCCATGCAAAGCTTCGATAAATATTCTTTCAGAGTACAGATTGAAGATTAGAGGAGACAAAATACAGCCTTGCCTCACTTCACGCTTGATTTTCACAAAGTCAGTGTGTTCACCTTCAACTCTTAGATTTGCTGTTTGATTCCAGTAAAGATTTCTAATTATTTTCAGATCTCGGTTGTTAATTCCTGTTTCTTTTAGTATTTACATCATCTTGGGTGCTGTACTCGATCAAACGCTTTCTCGTAATCAACTAGACATGCGTATATGTCGCAATTGACGTCTCTGCATCTCTGGAATAAGACATGTACTGACAATAAAGCCTCTCTAATAACATTAGCATTTGTGAGCCCGAATTGGTTGGGGGGGGGGGGGGGGGTTCTTATATCTTCGCATTTTTTAGCTCCTGTTTTGTTTTCTGTAGCTTGCTGTATTTCTCAAGAGTTGTATATGTTGTTGAATATCTTGCTATTATTGCTATTGATTCGTTGTCCATTAGTTTAAGTAGGTCTGCTTGTATATTATCAGGGCCTGCCGCTTTGCCAACTTTTAACTGTGTAAATGTAAAATAAACTTCCTGCTGTAATATTCTTGGTCGATTATTTACCTCTTCTTCTAGCTCAAAGATGTTATCTCTTTGGTCTTCAAATAGTTTTTCTAGATATTTTTTCCACGTTCTTATTTTACACTGTTTGTCCAAGATGATGTTTCCGTCAGAATCAGTTATATTTCCATTCTGCCTTCATCTTAGTCCCCCTGTGAGTTTTTTAACTTTCCTATTTACATTATTACTATCGTAATTTGACTGCAGAGTCTCAATTTCTTCGCATTTTTCCCTTGCTTCTTTTTTTTTTCGCTTCTCTGATTTTCGTTCTTATTAATATATTTATGGGTTTATATTTGTCTGGGTAACTTTTGGCTTCTCTTCTCTCGTCCATTAGTTTCAGGATCTCATCTGTGATCCATGATTTCTTTTTCGTTAATCTATCTGTCTTTAAGTGTTTATCCTTTACATTCTGCACCATTTCAGTAATATGTTTGGTCGTTTCATTCTTCGTTCGATTCGTGTCTAATTGCAGTCACTGGCTCGTTTAACGTGGCTTGGACTCTCATCCTCGTATCAAGGTCTTTCAGAATACGTAGGTCGTATGATTGTGCTTTTCTTTTCTGCATTAATTTGAGTTTGACTCGAAATACTCCCACCAGTGGAACGTGGTCTGTCTCCAGGGTCTGTCTTAAGGGATTTCCCCGTTTACAGCTTGCGAGGTGGTATTTGGAAGAATGTATTGGTGGTCACTAGTTCTAAGTCTTCTGCGAATTTTTCTAGGAGGTCTCCTCTCTCGTTTCTGACTCCAAGTCCATGTGCTCCAATGTACTGTGTCTTATCTTCAGCTAGAATCTCGGCATTAACATCGCCCATAATGATGAGAACTTTCGATCGAGGAATTTTCTGTATGATACTGTTAATGTTCTGATAGAACTCAATTTCTTCTTCCTCCCCTTTGTCTGCAGTGGGAGCATAGACTTAGATGATGTTGATATTAATGGGGTTAGCTTCTATTTGTAGTAACATCACTCTCTCTGATATTGATGTAAAGTTAGTAACGCATTTGGCAACCTTGGGTGATTGGATTATTCCGACTCCATATTCATGTGATCCATCACTTTTTCCCGAGTAATATACCTTGTGATCTTTTATTTGCGTTTCTCCAGAATCTGGCCATTTCATTTCAGCTATTCCCATGATTTCAATATGCGTTCTTTTCATCTCCTGTATTGCATTGTGGATTTTTCCTGCTTTGTATAAAGTTTTGACATTCCATGTGCAGATCTTGATATTCTTTCTGCACTTCAATTTATTATCTTTTGGTAAACCCAAAACTGTCCTCCCGGGAGACTAAAATTAATTTTATTATTGAGCATTGCCATGATTGATTGAATAGGGTGTATCGCTGTGAATCTTTAATTGAGTGTTTGCCCTACTTGTGCTTCTCTATCCTTATGCCGTTGATGAAATCTTTGGTTCATCTGTCTTCGAGGCCGATTTCACAACCTCAGGACAAAAGAGTGTCCTACCACTTACCAACTCATCCGCCCAAAGCCGTTGGTCAGTAAGTGGGGGATTGCTTACACCGGCAATCGTTCGGTAATTTATTTTTTCTTCAAACTTTAAATAATGATGACATTACTTATCTAACTTGATCCTGTCAAAGTTTGATGTCTCCGCCGGCAGCAGTTTTTTTCCCATTTCTTTACGGCGCGGCGGAGGGAAAATATTGTCATGGCAACAATATGAAACATGTCACAAAGCAATAACACAAATGTCATTAACAACAATTAAACATCATTTTTATTTATAGTAATATTAAAAGTACAATTAGTTAATGAGGCATTTTCAAAATTGAAACCGTGCAAAAATGTTCCCGACTCTTGATACGCATTGGTAATTGTTGATGATACTGATGGTCGAGAACAACTTTCAGCAATTATTCCCGATGTTGGCGAATCATGAGGGTTTAAAATTTTTTGAGCATTATCGTTCTTATTTATTATTGAATCCTCTATATATCTTTCGGCAGCCGTGCTTGATTTCCAGCCCCCATGTCGTTTGAGGCATTCTAGATTTGCGCCTCCATCATTTAAAAGTGTTGCTGAAGTTCGTCGTAAAGAGTGACCCGTGTATGCGCTTCCATCGTTAAAATTTAAATAACTAGCTACGTTTTGGGCTACTGCGCTGATCGAATGTATTCCCATGACGCTTCGGTAACACTTTCCATTTTGGTACTTGATAAAAAATCGGTTTTCTGTGAAATTTTCAGGCCGCAGTGATGCATACTTTTTATACAGTTTAATGTAGTTTTGACCAATTATCGTGAAAGATCTAATTTGTCGTGTTTTACTGTCTGGGATTTTGATAATTTATACATTTTCTTTATCCTCAATGTCCACAGTCTTCATTTTTACCATTTCGTCGCATCGACAGGCGCCGGTAAACCCAATTAACAAAACAATCTGAAATATTTTTATAATTTAGTAGAGTATACTACATGCTTTGTAATATAATTTTTTTTACCTTTAATCCTAAATACAACTTATCTGGCGCTTCAAACAAAAATTTATCAAACTCGTCTTTAGTGAAAACTTTAGACTTCTTTGCAGTATATCCTTCGCTGTTTTTTTCAGAAAGGCACGTAACTTTAAATATTTGCTTATATCCACATTTTTTCTAATAACTAACTCGGATTTTATCATATAGTATCGTGACCACATCGTAGAAGATTTCCATTTATTTTCATTTTCCATTATATTAAAATATGCCAGTAAAACATCTTCGGTAACTTGCCGTACTCCTCTTGTATCGCACCACTCTTGGAAGTACTTGTACGCTAACCGATACTTTATTCCGGACTTGGAGGGCCCCAAACGTGCTACTGCATCATTAGCCGCGGACTCAATTTCGTTTAGGTTTTCCATTTTGGCACTAAATTTGCGCTTGTGGTTGCAACAACAATAAGCTGTCTTTAATAATTGCAAACAACTGCCAAACAACTGTAACCAGGGAGACGCAAATTCCACCGACGACTTAATTATTTTAGTTTCTAACATCTAGACGACTTTGATAGTTGTCACAGTTAATTTCGAGTAAAAATAGCGTATGAAATGTACTATTTATGGTTGAAAATTGCTACGTTTGAAGAAAAAATAGTATACTTTATTCGGCAAAGAAGCGACTTTTCTTAACTTGCCCTCTATTACGCGCCTCACTTCGTTCGGCGCGTAATATCGGGCGCGTCAAGAAAAGTCATGCTTCTCCGCCTCATAAAGTAATATACTATTTTAATGGTAGTACATTTTCGGCTACCGGTTTTAAGCATTTGAATAATGTCCTATTATAAGTCCCCAGTACGTTACTCTTATTTTAATAAAATCTAAAAGCTAAAAACAACTAAATGAGCAACTAAATAAAAATAAAAATTATTGTATTGTTTAATAATAATGGAAATGAGTATACTAGTTGGTCATTTTAATTAATTAGTTCTGTTATTTTAGGTTTCCCATTTATCCGCTGTTATGGATCCGACGAAAATACCTGGTTTTGAAGAATGCCTTGAATCGTCAGGAACTACTCTCGAAGCAATATCGAAGCGTCCCGTAACTTTGGACCATAACGTGTATTGCTTCTTTAAATGTGCACATGAAAAAAAAGGATCGCTTGACGCAGACGGAAACGTTGTGTTAGATAAATTATTAGATGTAGCCAATGAGCATAATCTCAGTGCTGATCAACGAAAAACGCTGACCGTTTGTCTCGAAGCGGTGGGAAAGATCAGTGCTTGCGAAGATGTTGAAAAAATTACGAAATGTTTAATGCCTATGAAAAGTTAGTTTCTAAGAAATATATCCGATTGTTACGTATATTAATAAAGGATTTCTATGTAGAGTATGTTATATATTAAAGATTTTTTGTTCTTATATTTTATTTTAATGCTTTTTTATTTACAAAGTACTATCAATCCACAGGTTATTACCGCAAAGCAAATCTTTACAATATTAATGTTAGTTATCTATAAAATTAATACCCTTTAAGTAATTTAGCACATTTTTGAACGTTGTAACGAGACCGTCCCTTCAATAATTCTTTAATTACATTTAAATAAAATTTTTAAATCCATATCCTCTTAATAATTTTCTTAATTTTTATATTTTAAGTTGGTATTAAACAGCGACACCAAGCGGCCATTTTGACAAACATGCTTAGCTGACTCAAAACGAGCTTCGCAAACTTCTGCTTTTCTTCTTATGGCGCATACAGACTAGCACACGCATGCGGTGAGAAGCCACGCATATGCGTGCGTACTCAAACCATTAGCGCTCAGAGTATTCGTAAAAATTATAAATCACTGCATATGTATGCGTGCTCAAGGCGCTCCATTCATTCGTGAAAAAATGTCTGAGGAGCTGCTTATGGTTAGTGCCGCGTTTGTGGTTATTAGTTCATTAGAAAAGAAAAATCGAAGGAAAAATAGGCGATGGTGGACGATGCATTTATTTAAAAGAAGAAACCTACAAATGAAGTCCGATTTATCAGTAGATTTGGCGTTAGAACCTAATACTAGACAAATTCAAAATTTTACACGTATGTCAGTAGAAGACTTTTAAATAATATAGGCCCCGTAATACAGAAAAACGACACAGTCTTAAGAAAAGCCGTACCTGTTAAGGAACGTTTACTGATAACATAATGTACGGTTTTCTTCATACAAATCTAATAATTGCAAACATTGTTTATTTGACCACTCCATTTTACATATAAATACCTAAAATAAATAAAACTCAATAAATCCGAACTTATCTTACAAACGGAACAAATCCCCACGCTATCCGTCTAAACTGAGCGCGAATGCACACGTATGTTTCTTTGATGTGTGCGAAAAAACCGACACCACTTTGGCTCGCAGCATGTGTGCTCAAGTCATTCGCTAGAAGCAACGCATGCGGCGAGTGGTTACGAAAGCGTCGTCCGCACTTGCACACGTATGTGTATTCGTGGCTGCTCACCGCATGCGTTTGTAGGTTTGTACGCGCCTTTAGAGTGCCGTCTCCCTACGGAGGTTGGCAATCATAATGGCTATTTTTATTTTAGAACTTGCTGCTCTAAACAAATCAATCGATCTGCATTGATACCAATCACGTAGATTCTTTAACCATGAGTTCTGCCTTCGGCCAACAGATTTTCTTCCTTGAATCTTTTCCTGTATTATGAATCTCAAAATGTCATATTTTGGATCCCTCATCACGTGGCCTAGGTATTCCAGTTTTCTGGTTTGTATATGTAGTGGTGATTACTTCTGTTTGTTTACCAAACCTCTCCAGTTTAGTCCCAATTCTATCAGTCCATGATATTTTTAATACTCTGCAGTAAAACCAGAGTTTGAAAGCCTCGATTCTTTTTACATTGCATTTTTTTAATGTCCAAGTCTCAGCTTCATATAGTACTATTGAAAATATATAACAGCGAATGGTACGTAGTCTGATCTTCAAATTTAGATTTTCGCACGTTAGGAGTGGCTTCATTCGTATAGATGCTGATCTGGCAATCTGTATTCGCCTGTTTATTTCTACAGTGTGATCATTGGTTTCATTCGTATCGTACACCGTGTTGAATAAATCTGCCAATACTTCCAAGTTATCCTCTTCCACTAGTTTTAACAGTTCGACTGGTATTTCATCTAATCCAGCTGCCTTATTGTCTTTAGAGTTTTTGATAGCATATTTGATTTCATCTATCGTCATCTTCTGTCTCTCTAAAGGATTTAAAAAATTTAATTTTTGTATTTTCTGCATTTCACCTCTTTCATCTTGGAAAAGTTCTCTAACGTACTCCTCCCATCGTCCTAATTTCTCTGGTAAATCTATTAGTAGTACTCCTTTTTTGCCTTTTATGTATCCTTGCTTTCTATTTCGATCCATTGTAGTCACTTCTCTTATTTTTTTGTGCATATTTCTCATATTGTAATTTATTTCTAGTTCTTCCATCTCTTTACATTGTTTCATCAAATTGATTTCCTTAGCTGTTTTGATTTTGTCCTTGTATTTCTTTATACTTCTGTAGATATTTTCCTTTATATTTCCTTCTTTCTTCCATCTGTAGTAGTATTTCTTCTGGCATCCACCCTTTTTTAGCCTCTGACCTATGTTGTATTAAACTTTCTTGAGCTGGTTTAAGTAAATTGTTTTTTATATTATACCACTTTTTATTTACATCCATAATTTGTTTGCTGTCAGTTAATGTTTTTTGCATATTAACATTCACATTATTTTTTAATTTGTTTTTTATTTCTTTGTTTTGTAGCATTCTACAAGAGTTCAATTCTTTTTAATTTTATTTTCACGTCAGCCACTAACAGATTGTGGTCTGAGTTAACATCTGCTCCAGGATAAGTTTTAGCTGTGGTTATAGAGTTTTTATATCTGCTATTTAAGAGTATACAGTCTACCTACTCCAATTTTTGCATTAAAGTCTCCTAAAATGTAAGTAATGCATAACTTAGTCTTAGTCTCCTAACTTCTACTCTGATGTTGGTTAAAGATACTTGGACTTTAAAGTAGGTGGCCAGCGATGGTTTAGAAGTCTTTTTAGAATATTGAAGTTTTTTTGGGAAGAAGAAGTAGCAAGTTTTGGTTTAGTTTTTTTTGGTGTTCTGTTTGGTTTGTAGCCACTCTGAGCTAGTAAGTGTATCCAATTAGTAATAAAAAAATATAAAACCATCAGCCATGTTGATTTCTAAATATTGTCAATTTTCCTTTAATTTTTCTCAGATCATTTCATTAAGAAACATTTTAGATTTAAATATAGTAATCATATAAAAACATATGTATTTTTTAATTTTACCCTCCGGCCTTAAAAATATAATTATCTATCTTTTAAACTATCTATTATCTATTAAGAGTGTTTATAACAATATTCTGTCTCATTCCATTCTTTTGTATTCTAAAGTATATCCATAGCATGCTTTTCGTTAAAATTGTCTATCTAATCAATCTATTTTACTTAAAATATTGTCAAACCATACGAAGGTCACATTATTTACGAAACCATTAAGGATTTTTTTACTTTCATACTTCATAAGTAACTTTTATAAATCCTTTCAAGGCTCATAAACCCTGTGTCTTTCCCTAATTTTTATCAAGAGTATGAAATAACTCTAACACAAATGTTCTTTTTAGCCTACTTTAGAAGTCAAGCAGAAGTCAAGGGGAAGACATCTTTATTTTGTTTTTTATGGGAAAATTATTTTTTAAAGAAGAAGATTTGAGTTATTACCTAGTCGGAGCTACACCTGGTTCCAGGGTTGATTCTTTTCAATCTTACCTTATTGTTCAGCTAAATAAAATACCTTTTGTACCTTTATAAAATATTTTATAAAATACCTAATGGTTATACCATTTACTTTTAGAAAAGCCTAATCTTAATCCTATTAGAGTCATTTGTGTTGGAGTAATACCAATAAATTTCGAGAGATGAATATAGTGAGTGGCAGGTATAATAATTAAAAGTACAATAGATTAAAATTTATTAATTTCTACCTGGTCCGAATACTTAACCACGCCATTTAAATACAAATGAATTTGTAATAGGATTCCGATTAAGCTTTTCTAAAATAAAATGGTACCTGCTTGTAATTCTTTGTTGCTATAGCATTATATCTAATTTCACAACTGAGGGTTACGCAATTTACTAATAATAATAACAAAACTAATAGTCGTAATTCATTTTATAACTTTTTATTGTTCTGACGATATTTTCTTGTGGCATTAAATACTATTTAAAAGCCTCGATGGAAATAACCACAATATTATTTATTAAAAAAAGAAACTTTATAAAATGTTTAGACAATGATTTCTGAATTAGAAGTCGAAACGTCAGTCAAGTTTTTTTTTTAATAAATAGATTGTGGCTATTCCCATCGAGACGTTTATAACATTATTTAAAGTCATAAAATATTTTTTGTTTTAATTAAACATAAACTTTAAAAGAATTTTCAAACAATAATTTTAATTATGTTAATCACTTTGCACATCTGATTGATTGTCCATATTGTTGGTGAGCAACGACTTAAAGAAGAGACAATACTGGGAAGGAATAATGCCTTTATTACACAGCTCTTCTAAATCCTTATATTTTTCTTCCTTTATAGGCCTTGGTCCTTCATATGCCGTTGTTAAGTTTGGCATGGAAAATTTCCTAGTTTCTTTTCGGATAAGCTCAAAAGAACCGAAATTTTCATTTTCCTTATTATATTAAAAAAATATATGTTTATTATTGTCTTTTCTGTACTGCAACCATGTTAATTTTATCCAATTTATGCTACTACCATCGATGTTTATTTTTTTTTGTTTTTTATTAGAATTGTGGCAAAAGCTTTGAAGTCATAAATTTCTTCCTGTCCAATCTCGTGTACAGTGTATTTTGATTTCATTTCTTTGACGCCATTCTTACAATGGTGTACCACCTAGTGGGGTTAAATATGTCCGCATTTTTTTATGCTTTCTCAATATGACCATGGATCGAGTCACACTCCATCATAGAATGGCCAGGTTCAAAAAAGCAATGGTCAAATTTTGGAATATCTAATGTCTGAACAGCCTAAAGCAACGTAATAGATACATTTACGTTGCGGTTTTGGCCATCACACGTGTCACTTATTAAAACAACTCTTTACCATCGCAATTGTCTTGTAGATATTTATAGAGACAAGAGGACACTTCATTCGAACGTCTGCCAACCACTTCTTCATGCCACATATAATTAGTAGCGTTTCTGGTCCTGACATCGTAAACAGTAAGATTATACACGGCCAGTCATCTTTTGTAAAATATTGCTTTAGAATTTGTGAAAGGGCGGTACCTTACAGCCTCCAGATGAAATTGATTGAAATTTATTTATTTTGTCGTGAAATTCCCTAGCAGCATT